GTAAAGTCAATTGACTGCATATTTGTGGGCGAACGCGGCAGCCAATTGCGCATAGCAATGTCCCACAAACAGTCATAAATTGAAAATGACCAATTTATTATTGTTTTATTTTTTGGAGGAATTATTATTAGGCGTGTGGAGTAAGGAAACTTGCCCAAGGTTTCGCCCTGCCTGGAATTGAACCCAGGTGTCTCACTTGCAAAGTGAGTGCTCTAACCACTGAGCTACAGGACTCCACGTCCAATAGGTCCTTAAATCACAGGATGTCCAGATTTGATGGCATTCATGTAGTGTGTCTCTGGTGAAGTGGGAGCTGGGTAACCCTACTTCACATTCGCTAACAATAAAAGCCCCTGAACACCCCCCTGAAAATTGCAACTTGACTTCTGTGCTCTCAGCCCCTCGCTTTTATTTCCATAATTAGTGTTTTACTATTGGTGCAATAATGCATCGCAGATGTCTTTACTGTGCGAAACTCGGTCTTGGACTAATTAGGGTTATTATCCGAATCATTGCCATTGTGAGGAAAGCAGCCAGTTAGTTATTGTTGGGAGCAGCAATGTTCACAATTGTTCCCGAAATATGGACTTTTGATAAAAATAAGGTTGATGTCTTCCAAACCCTGTAACCGAGTCTCTCGGCAGCTGTGCTCGCTGTGAGGGACTCGTGTGAAGAAACTGGGGTAGGTCAGGGAGCAAGGCCGTGGAGATGGATTCCTGTAGCGTAGTGGTTAGCACATTCGTCTCGCAAGAGAGAACCCAGGTTCAACTCCTTAGGCAAGTTTCCTTACTCCCACATGCCTCTGTTTATCGAGCAGTATGTGGGAACCCAGATGTTAGAGGATTGGTGGATTTGCTTTTCTGGGTGTAATAATCCCTTAAAAAATATTTTAAAGAATAATAATTTGATCACTTAATCCACAACTGTTTGTGGGATACCGCTGTGCGCAATTGGCTACCGTGTTTGGCCGACAAAATATACAGTCAATTCACTTTACAGTATATACTGTGAAGTGTTCCAATGATGTGATAAGGCGTTATATCAAATGCAAGGAGTAGGAATATTATTATGCTGGAGGCACTAACTGGGTTACGCCGAACTCACTAACTGGGTTAGACCGGAGGCACTGGGACTTCAGGGAATGCTGTACAATTAAGTTTTGTAAAATTATAGAATCTTACAGCATAGAAGGAGGTCATTTGGACCATTGTGCCTATGTCGGGTCTTTGAATAAGCTACCAACTAGTCCCACTCCTCCGCTTTTACCCCATAGCCTTGCCAATGTTTTAACTTTATAATTACCAATCTAATTCGTCCCTTATGAAAGTTATTATCGTATTTGCTTCAGCCACACTTTCAGGCAGTGCATTCTAGACTAACAACTCTCTGGGTGAAAAACGATTGCCCTCATCTCAAGCTCTGGTTCTTTTGCCAATAATTTTAAATCTGTGTCCTCTGGTTACCGACCCACTCTCCAGAGGAAACAGTTTCTCCCTACCTACTCTATCAAAACCCCTCATCATTTTGAACAACAAATTTGATGCTGTATGATAACTAAATAAATAACAGACTGAATAATGCAGAGGTGCTGGAGTTTTAGAGGGGAGGAATCAGTTGGAATGAAAAATTAAAATAAAACAAGGGGAGAAAGGAGTTCTTTTTACGATTGTATTGAGTGAAATGGGAAAAAATCTCTGTAAGTGGAAAGAGGAATGCTACCCAGGACACATCCGGCATTACTGTCTGATTATAGAGGTCAAAGCTACTCTAAGAACATAAGAATTTGCTGGTGAAAGAAGACCAAAGTCCATCCAGTTTGATTACCTCCATCCTGGCAGTCGCATGACCCAAACTATATATTGTATCCCGAGATGTTATTTCCGAACAGAAATCTATCCAATTTGTTCTTGAAAGAATCAATACTTTCTGCATCCACTGTTTCTTTGGGGAGCCTGTTCCATAAGTTTACTACTTGCTCACTGACGGAAAGGTCAAAGCTCACTGAGAGGTCAAAGAGCAAAGATTTAAATGATGGGAAAAAGGAAGGAATGGTGGGGATGGACATCCATATAGACTATTGGAGCACAAGACTCTCACAGAGATGAGAGGGTCCCTGCAGGTTCCTTGGTCGCACTCTCGCCTCTGTGTCAGAAAGTTGTGGGTTGAAGTTCCATATCAGGAATAGTCTGACACTCCAGTGCAGTGCTATATTGTTTGAGCTGCTGTCTTTCAGATGAAATATTAAGCCAAGGCCATGTCTGCCTGGTCAGTTGAATGTTAAAGATTCCATGACATTATTGAAAAGAGAAGTTTCTCTCTGGCTCTATCCTGGCCAACAATACAATAAAATTGATCATTTGCTTCATGTCTGATTTAAGAGACATTGATGCATGCAAATTGGCTGCCACATTCAAGAGCAAAGTCGCTGCACTTTACAGTAAATTCTGCAAAGAACTTTGAGATATTCTCCCGACATGAAAAGACCGTATAAAATGTAAGGGTTATTATTACACAGTGAGGAAAGGCTCTCTACATTCTCTAGCTGTAAACCAGGGGCATCACATTATAGACCAGGCAGTATTTGGGGCGCTACCCCATATGAGGAGCGCTATATAATTGCAAGTTGTTGTTGTAATTCCACGGGGTTAGGGATGTTATGGACAATCAGGAGATGTATTAAATAGGTTTGTCATATTGGTTGTCAGGAATGAAGCCTGCGGTTAAATTCCAGCTCAGTCATCTGTCTCGCACGCAGCATCAGCAGATGCAGAAACGCACACTACACAGAAAACACAAACCAGGCAACCTGGGCGGACAGCATGTACAGGCAGTCCTTGAGGCAATGTGAGAGGAAGCAGGTGAGGTTCTAGTTAGTGTAATCAAGCGATATATGTAAGTGGCTGAGAGGAAGCCAAGGTTAACCCGAAGTACATCAGTTCTGCCTGAACATCGGGGAGGCTGGAATTAACAATAATAACAAAGATCCTTACACTTAATCTGGCCCTTTCATGTCGGGAGTGCTTCACAGGATTTGTTGTAAAGTGCAGTGATGGTGTTTATTTTGTAGGCGAATCAGAAATTCCTGGCTATAGTCATGATGCATGGAACTAGAAATAACTTGGTACCACAAAGTGGTGGGAGGCAGGAAGCGAGAGTTGGGGATAAAAGAGACATTAATAATAATAATAATCCTTGCAATTGACACAGCGACTTATCACGTCATCGAGGTGCCTCAAAGTGCTTCATCAGATTTTCTGGAGAAGTAGTGAGTGTAGGTCAACACAGAATACCTAATGGAACAGCTTTCTAAAAAGGGAAGGAATAGCTAGCACCAGCACATAGATGATGCCCTGAATATTGGTTGCCTCGACTCTGCCTCGTCCCTTATTTATATATCTTTAAATCCCACCTGAAGACTTACTTCTTCAACCTCACCTATGATTACCTCCCCCGCCCCTTTCTCCCTTGTTCGGGGTCTAACCCCATCACCGTACAGCGCTCTGTAACGCTATCGCAAAGGGCTCTGTGTAATTGTAAGGTGTTGTTGTTGAATACCCTCCTGTGTAATCTCTAACGTTTGATGTCTATATGGATTTTTTTTTGGTCAGCCGGGTGTCTGATACATGTGGAAAACCATCACCGTGCTTAAGAGTATCCAAACCAAACTGAGAATTCTAAGCAAACCACCTACACATGGAAATCCCAGACATAGATTGTTGGAATGGAATGTGCACTCTCTCCCTGGAAAAATGCATTCAGCTCACCTAATTCCGGAAAATATTAGGCGCAGATTGGAAAGAGCCAAGGATCGGGGACCTCAGAGTGTGCATTGGGATACTCCTGGAGTCTAACCAGCTAATATCGCGTAGTTTGCCATTGAGAGCACTGTCTGAGTATCTCCTTACGTACCAAATTGGACATTTGGCATATAATAATCCTTGCATTTGATATAGCTCCTTATCATGTCATTGACACGTCTCAAAGCTCTTCACAGAATATAATGGAAAATGTATTGGCTGTGTATTGCGTGGGCGAAATACGGCAGCCAATTGCACACAGCAGTGTCCCAACAATAAGGAGACACTCAAGTGAGGGGCACCTCCTGGGCTGTGTGAGTCACGTGTTCCATCCTGTCCGCAGCTCACCCTGACTGGAGCTTCCCTGAGCATGTTGTACTGGGCCATATAATGTGAGTGTGTGGTGGTTGTCTCGGATCTGGCCAGGGATCTGTGTTGGAGCTGCTAATTCCCCATGCACTAGCCATCTCTCACTTTCTCTTTCTCTCTCTCTCTCTGAGATCCCGGCAACACTTCATACACCAGTCAGAAGTGAGCAGTCAATGAGAAACAAACTGGCTTTTGTGTCGTCAGATTCCTGTCTCAATGTGGAGCACCGTGTGGAATCCGAGCACGTGTCTGTACAACCAGGGAAGAGCTGTGAAACACTGCCACCCAGTGTCAGAGCAGCAGCTCAGCACACACTGGCAGAGTGGGATCTTTAGTATTCACCTGATGGTACCTCGGTGTAATGTCTCATCCGAAGACCGGCACCTCTGACAATGCAACACGTGCCCAGCACTACTCTGGAGTGTCAGCTTAGATGATGTGATTTTTGATTAGATTCATATCAGTGACATTTATAGCTGTCATCTGATCACTGCTCGAATTCTAACAGCGTTTGTGTGAAACAAATACCAGTGAGAATATAATCATAAAATAAGAATGCCTTTGATGTAGTGCTCCATCACTTTGTTGAGATGTCTCAAAGCTCTTCACAGGATACACTGTAAAGTGGTGACTTTTTGGGGCGAACGGGGCAACCAATACGCGCACCAATATATTGGAAGTCAAGTGAATAGACTCTTAAGCTGACTGGGAATGATCGGCTGGGGAGCGATCATGAGGGACGGGCTAGAAATGTTGCCTTAATATCTACTTTGGGTCGTCCATGGTCTCTCTCACTCTGTTTTATTTTCTATTTTCTCTCTTTTCTGAATAAAGGGCTGCTCTGACAGCTATCTGTTTCAGATGCTCGAGGAGGAAAAAAATCACTGAAGACCAAGAGCAGCCTCAGGTAAGCATGTCTGGAACTAGTGGAAACCTTACGGTGACAACTAAAACTAGTACCATGTTTACACTCTCTACTATCTTCCGCAGCTAACACGCAGATTGCCTGGCAGCTGAAATCATGCAAGGCCAAACTCCAGTACACACACTAAGGTTGCTGATGGATGGGATTGCTGAAAGTGACACTGCACTATCTGGTGTGGGAATCTCTTGATATTCTAGTGTTTTGCACGTGTCAATATATTTTGCAAAGATCAGTCAGTGATTTACCTGAGTTGGTCTTTGTCCAGTGTATACTGTGTGATTATACTGGTATTACATGAGTCATATTCTTCTATGGAGTCTAGTGCCACCTGCAGGTAGTGTGCAATCTGACACGGGTCAGAAGTTTCACTGGCTGCAGTGTGGTAATAATAATCTTTACATTTGATACAGCGCCTTATCACATCTTCGAGACGTCTCAAAGCACGTCACAGAGTGTACTGTAAAGTGAATTGACTGTATTCTTTGCAGGTGAAACACAGCAGCCAATTGCGCACAGCAGTGTCCCACAAACCATTGTGGATTGTGTGACCAAATTATTATTTATATTTTTGAGATTATTACCCCCAGAAAGCGACCTGCCAATCGACTAATAACTGGGTTCCTACTTACTACTAGGTAAACAAAGGCGTGTGGAGTAAGGAAACTTGCGTAACGTTTCTTCCAGCCCGGGAATCAAACCCAGGTCCTCTCGCTTGTGAGGCGAGTGCTCTAACCACTATGCTACAGGACTCCACTTCACATGTAAAATATACAGCACACACTGTATAGATCCTTTCATCCAGTACTGTTTGAAGCACTTGCATGGCAAAGCAAGTGCATCAAGATGTCAGCTGTGAGACCCATCTATAGATTACCAGTTAAAAAAAACAATTGATACCTGAATATCTAATTTTAAAAATGACTTAGAAAACAATCTTATTTGTTGGAGCAACGCTGATTTGAAGCTTCCCCATACTCGAACTCCATGGTCCAAACCTCCAGAAAGAGACTTACTTGGATGGGGTAACAGCATTGACCTGCATGAGTCACTGCACAAAGTAATTGTGCACTATGCCAATCTGTCCACTCCCTCCGCTCGGCGGGCACTGGCCTGTTTCATGCCCCCGACCTGCCCAGCCCATCATTGGCAATCAGGCCCAGCTTCTCTGCCCACACCATGTGGGGTGAATTGCCATTCACTTCATGGCTGTTTGTGGGATATTCCTATGTGAAATTAGCTGGAATTCCATCCTTCCCCCTGACCGGCTCCCTTGCCTTCTTCAAAAATATAAATAATAATTTGGTCTCACGATTTTCCTCTTTAATTGTGCTTTCGGCCACCTTCCCACCCCCGTACCCTCCACCATTTTTAATTCCAACCTCCAGTTCAGGTGCAAACCCTTAATTGTCCAGCGTCTTGGGATACCCTTCCGATGTGAAAGATGCTGTGTAAATGTAAATGTAATTTTGTTGTTGTGGAATTGCAGTCACTGCTGGCGACGTGTGATGCGCACAAAATAACAAATGTTAAAAGTTGATCTATTCTGGAGCATGTCTCCATGCTGCTAGGGTAGAAGCTGAGTGTATATGGGATTTGTGAAGTGGGATCTGAATTTCACAGGTGATCCAAGATGCTGGATTCACTTTCCTGTCAACCGATTCACATTGTTGCATTGTCAACTTTTCAAAGCAACTTCGATTTATCTGTAAAGTATATTTTATGGGTGAATACGACACCCAATTTGTCACAGCAATGTCCCACAAACAGCCATGAAATGAATGACCAATCCTACCTGGGGGATTGTTGGCCAAGAACACCTGTAGAAACTCCTGTCTCTTTTCGAATAGCACCATAGGAATTTTAACGTCCACCTGAACAGGCAGATGACACCTTGGTCGTACGCCCCAGCACTGGACTGCAGTGTCAGCCTATTAAAATCCAAACACGGAGCTTGAACCCATAACTGTTTGACTTGAATGGTTACTGATTGAACCAGGCTGATACATTCTCTCTGTAACACTTTTGCTGACGCGTGTCCATGTGTAAGACATGTTTAAACTCCAGCGGTTACTGCCTAATGCACACTCAGGTGGGATTGACCCTGACTCTTACAAACCTGTACCTAACTTGTTAATATTGTCTCAATTGGCTTCCTCGTTTTCACCCACAAAATACATAATCAATCCACTTTACAATATATTCTGTGAAACGAATGGTCAGTTTATGTGCCTCACAGTCAGTGTAAACCTAATGCTCTCCAGGAGCTGAATGGGAAGAATCCTTGCTCCCAGCGATTGGTCTGTCAGGCGAGCTGGTGTGTCATCAGCGGTGCCCTGGAGTACTTATTAATAATGAAATATTTATCAATAATGAAGTATTTAATCATGAGATGGGTCCGAGGAACGGAAGAGAACTGTGCCTGGTGATTATTACACTCATAATTCTATTTTCTGGCTCACTTTTATTAAATACATCATAGAATCGTTAGAATTATACAGCACTGAAAGGAGGCCATTCAGCCCATTGTGTCTGTGCTGGCTCTTTGAAAAGAGCTATCCAAATCAATCCCACTCCCCCATTCTCTCCCCATAGCCCTGCAAACTTATCCTCCCTAATTTAATAACTAATTTTTAAGTTATTTAATATTTTGGTTATTTAGCACACATTGACATTATGTCAAAACCTTTGGGGTATGGGGGTGGGGGAAGGAAGGGAGGGGAATAATCCAAACCTTTTACCTTTTGTGGGCATTTTAGCTACTGAAGCTGGTTTAGTAAACGTGGGTACAAGATGCTGTCGTTATTGATAATAATCCTTGCATTTGATACAATGCCTCATCATGCCATTGAGGCATCTCAAAGCGCTTTGCAGAATGTATCATAAAGTGGATTGACTCTATTTTGTGGTAGAAATGTGGCAGACAATTGTGCACAGCTGTGTTACACAAACAGTCGTGGATTGAATGATCAAATTATTTTCAATTTATTTTTGGGGGATGGGATAATTACCCCCAGAAAGTGATCTGCCAATCGAGTAACAACCAGGTTCCTACTTACTGCTAGGTAAACAGAGGTGTGTGGAGTAAGGAAATTTGCCTAAGGTTTGGCCTTCACTGCTGCAGGACTCCACAATCTGATCTTGTGATCTTCACACTATATAATGGAGTTGGTGCTGAGCTTTAATGGCATCTGACAGAGTGGGAGGAGAGATCCAACCCTGAGTCTCAGTCTCCAAGCAGCTCACAACCTGTCAAATGAAGAAGATCTTCTGAAATACAACTTTACCACCTCCATAAAGCTGCCTGATGATTTAATCAAAGAGTGAGACTGATGAATTGCCCATCAGCCCCTTTCCCTTTTCTTCCCTCCAACCTCCTCCAGAGAGTGAGGGCAGCCTTTCTATCCAAGCTGCTCCCATCAGCCTCTGAGCTGGGCACAGTATGCTGCCTCTGTTATTAGATTCATTCTGGGTTTAATAATTCTGTCATAAAACTAGTAGTTATCCTTAAAAAAAAGCTCTTCCTTTAAATGCACATTACAGCATAATACGGTGAATAAAATTCACAATTTTTTAAAAAACACACAGCACTGATCACCCGCTGATAGTTCCTTTCCCATGTACATCCCTGCAAACCAACCCTGGGCTTCACGTTGTCAGGACAGCCCTCTGGTTTATGGGGCAGCAGATGCAGCTCCCTCACAAACAAACAAATTACTTGTGTGAAGTGTTGGGGACCCATTTGCATAATGGAGCCACAAGATTTTCGCAGTCTTTTATAATAATTAAACCGATCTAATCGCGGCCGGGGTAAACAGACTTACAATCAGAGCTGCCGCAAGGCAAATAACTTTCGAGGCTTTATGGAAAGTCTGGAGTATAATGCTGATGATATGTTTGTTAATTATGCCCAGATTTTCATTCTTCGTCAATGTAATGTTTGTATTGCCTCAAGCTTATCAGCCAACGACCAGACATATGAAATTAGGCACGGCTCTTTCTTTTTGACATTTCCACTTGATGGAAAGAAAGATGCTTCAAAAAATGATGGCACCTTTTTTTTTAAATCAAGGTTGACACAAATGTGAACCGCTGCACTTCACAATCCGACAAACCTTCAGATAATGAACACACCCAAAATCCTGTTGACGTGCCGGATGTCTGTCAGCATTGTTAATGGCACAAAATTGGAGTGATTCAGGACTTTGTGAATGGACATCCTCTTCTCTCGCTCTCTCCCCAACCCCCCCAACCCCCACATCCAAATCTTCCTTCCTGGAGGTGGGGACTTGTTGATGAGGTACAGACATCCTCCAACACTGACCCAATGTCTGTGATTCAAGTGTGGCAATGAGTGTCAATAACTCAGCTGTGGTAGGCATCAAGTTGTCGGGTTCATCTTTGTGAGCTGTATCTGGGATGGGGGATAGAATGGGGGTGGTGGGAAGCTGAGAGGAACCATCACTGCTTGAAAAGTTCTGAAATGCATCTATAACTACTTGGCACATCTCGTTTAAAAGCAACGCATAAAAATTAGTTTACGGCTGACATTCCACCCCAAGCATTAGATGCTGCTCCTAAATCACTTAAGTTGTGCTCTCACAGTTTAAGGCATCACAAGATGCCTTGATTGAATTAGCGACTTGTAACAGACTCCCAGTTGTCTATTATTCTTTATTTATAAAATCATGTTGCACAGTAGGGGATGAGTATTTTCGTAAATCCCGCCTGACCAGGGTTAATTATCTTATGCATGACTTTTGTGAACCCTAAGGGCTAACTGCATTTTTATTGCTGTTAAAATCTTTTCCCGTCTGAATGAAGGATGGCAGATGCTCGGAGCAAATCCGCACAGTCTCGGGGACGAGGGAGAGGAGTGTGGGAGATTGGGACAGATAAAGAGCTGGAGGGACACGTCATTCGTTCCAAAGCTTTTAGCATCGTGTAGATTGTGCCAAATTGTATTAAAGCAAATAAGAGAGCAA